ACGGCCCGGAGGCGCCATGTCGGTGGCGTGACCTCCCCTCCCCATGGCTCCCGGCGCTGCATCCAAAGGCTGGCCGCCCGAAGGTGAAAGGTGAAGCGGCCCAAGGCGCGCACGGGCTCCAGCACATGCTTGTGGAAATGGCGCGTCTGCAGTGCCCCGCGAACACGTCTCCTCGTCAGGCCCCTGGGTGCCCAGGAGGTTGCTGTGTGTTTCCAGAGAGGGCTGGTGGCTCCGTGGTGGTGCAGAAACCCCCCAAAGGGCCTCCCTGGTTTTTGTTGTCTTGCTGGTCGGCAGTAAGACGTCTAGGTATTTTTTCCTCCTGTCACCAGTACACTGAAGGGAGAAGGGTTCGTCAGCGCTCAAGTTGTCAGCCTTCGTATCAGAGCTTCAGCTAAACCATTAGGATAATATCCCACCTGAAAAGTCACAGAAGCTGAAGAAGGGGAAACACAATCTTATTGACTGTTATTATATTTAAGCTATATTTGGCTGCAAAGTCAAAACGCCAGTTATTAATAAATTACCCTTTTAATTTGTGCTTACGTGTGGCTTTACTCGTGTAAGTGTGTCTCGCTGGGAGGCCCCTGCCTCTTAGCTTGGGTAGCAGGGCAGGATGCTTCATCTTCAGTGCAGATCCAGGGCTTGYTTCCTTGCTAGACATCATGAGTCAGAAGCCGGGCTGCATACAGATGTACTGGTTATTTCATGGTTCCATTTCTGATTCATCCCTAATCAGAGGAAGAATTCCTTGCGAAGGAATGGCTAGTACCCAATTWGTATCTGATTTTTTGTTTGTTTGTTCAAAGTTTACGGAGTTAAGGTTGAAATCCTGGGAGAGCGCGGTAGAAAGGATGAAAACATGTCTTTGATATTAATATTCACAAGCATGTTGGTGATGCAGAAAAGGTGCTGTGGTGTAATTAAACTCAAGGGCTCCAAATTAAGGTTGCACAGTTAGGTTTTGTACTGATGTTTTGTAGAATTTGATTTAGCATTTCTAAGTACTGGCTTTTCTGCCTTTGCAATATTCATATGTAGTTTTGAAGAGACATATTTACAAACTACGTAGCCGTGTGTTCATTTGATGCAACACAGCRGAAGAAAATCTTCTGACACTGCTCTTGTTCTCTCCCCTTACAATGGAACACATCTTACTTTGAGCTACCATTTCGGAGTTTTCTTTTCGAATTATCCTTTTCGTTTGGGAGACTTCACCTCCCATGCGATTGGAGGGAACTCGGGAGCTGGATTAATCCTGAGYAAGAGCAGTGTCCAAAGATCAGATGAGCTGAGGCCAAGCTTTCCACTGTGGTGCGACTCACTCCTCCTACCCCCAAAAAACAAACAAAACACTCGGCTGCCAAATTGGAGCAGGACACACGAACCCTCTCTCTTGTGAAACTCTGCCGTTCTTAATCACGTACGACAACAGTGAGAGCGGGAAGCGATTGGTAGTCCCGCAAGATCAGCGGAGCAGTAAAAATCACGGGCTGGCGGTGGTCGCCTTTCCTAGTCCACATACCCAGTGCAGTAACAACTTAATTCTTCAAAGCTTTGTAAATTAATTGCGGCTCCCTTTGCTTTCCAGAGGTCCAACTTCTGCCTACGTGTACTTAGGCTTTTATTTAAAAACATTTATTTTATGAATATAGAAAAATCTGTAAAATTGTGAATCCCAAAAGTAAAGTAGTAGGATCTTTGGGGGTTTGAATCTTGAGAGGWTTTTTTTATGATCCATGGCCTTACAGTATTTAGGAGACTCATTTTTTTCAAGATTTTGATTTTTGATTTTTGTTTAAGTTTTTAAGTTGTGATCCTCTTTTTTTTTTTTTTTTTAGTACAGATTAGCCTTTAGTCAGAAGTCAGTGACAGCTGTTTTTGAAACAGTCAAATCATCAACCACCAGTAAGTAATTAACATTTCTAAAGCTACCATATATTCATATTCCCCGTAGTTTGGTAATGAAAAGTTATCTTTTGTTAATACAATTTATTAGCATTAGGTATTGAAGCAGGATCACAGAGGTTGTATGACCTGAAGGAATTATTACAGTGTTGTACCAAAGGTCCTCCTTTTTTTTTTTTCTTTCAGTGAAGAGTCCTTCTTCTTGGAACTTGCACAATTGCAATCATGATTGTAAAGTAACTGATGATGCCTTCAGTACAAATGTGAACGACAGCTGAGTAAACAGTACAAGATACAACAACACCGTGAAAGGAAGTCCAAAAACATCTATATACAAACAAAAATAACCATCTAGCTGCAGTTATAGTTTGGAGTGAAGCAAAGTCTGCCTAAATACAAAGGAGCAATTTTCTTTTCCTTGAGAAGAAAGAACCAGGTTTAAAAATTTACAGAGTAGTTAGATTTTCCAGGTCCCTTGACCTACATTTATTGCCTGTACTAGAAACTGCGGAGTTCAGTGACTATGTTCTGGCAAGTTTCTTTTCCTATCTTAGTTTATTAATGTTAATAAAAATGAAACATTTGATTTGGAGATACTTCCAGGTCTCTACTTAACRTTCTTTTTCTGAGGGGAGGTACATATTTCTTTTTTTTCTTACCTCCCCCAACAGCACATCAGATTAATTATTTTCTATCAAGGAAATCAGTGTCTTTAATGATCATCATTTGTTTTGTCATGGCTGTAACATTTCTTGATATTCAACTGTTAAACCTGCACAGAAATGCTAGAGCAAACGGTATATTTAGGGAGCATCCCTGAAGTGCAATGTGTGTTTTTTGGACCAGTAAATCCTCATTTGTTTGTCGCGGCGCCCAGCGAGAGGCTGCCTGGAGCTCTAGGCCCAGTCATGGTTTCAGCAGAACCTGACTATGATTGCAGTGAACTTTACAATAGTTATAYGTTACAATAGAAGGGGACAGTAATTCTTCTGAAATGCTGTTTTCCTTTGTGGTTGGCCATAAGGAAGCACGTGAAAGTAATGCCAAGCTAACTGCGCTGCTAGCATGAAATGAAGTGCTAAAGCTGTGCGAAAAGCTTGGCAGATCATAGACGTGCACATTCTGTCTTCACATCCTGAACACAGAGAAATAAGTTTAAAAGATGTTTGTAAATCACATTGCTGAAGAAAAGGTACTTTTGTAGCAGGCCCCATATTCTGTTTTCCTCTAGAGCCAGATTTTCACCCAATCTGTTGTATGAAAATGAGCTTTAAAGAGTATAAATATACATGGTCACCCCATTAATGGTTGCATTCCTAGTCCACAGGGCTCCCCAATTTGCAGATTAACCTACAGCACCATTGCAGCTGCCAAAAATGTCTTTTCAGATGATTGTTACATTGAACAACTTGTATGAGCAGTATGCAATTATCCTAAAACTATCTGTCAACAGGGCTTTGTAATCCCATCTTTTATGGGAAACACTAGTTAGCATTGCCTTGATGCATGGTAGGATTGGCCCTGCCAGTAAAACCTGGATTCTGAATGAAAATATGGTGATMAATTAAATACAGCTGTCTTTACCTGAATGTACAACTCTGAGCATGTATATTTTCATGTTTTTGGAGTTTTGTATGTTTTTTGTGTGCCTTTACGGGTTCAGGCAAATGAGAAGTGGATGGTTTGGTTGGATTTGTTTAAAATTGATCTTGCTTTTAGTAAAATGGAGAATGTAGTTATTTTGAAAAGTATTTGGCATTTTGGACTTCTAAAACAGAGCCAGGTTGATACTCAACTTCATTCGAGGTTCCAGAAGAATTTTAACTGATACAAAATTCTTTAATTTTTAATAGAGATGACCTAAAACTTCAAGAATTTTAACAGACTTTGAGGAATATGTAAGTCTGAATTAAGACGACTGGTTTGTATTTTAGATTCTCTGTGAAATTATGTAATCTTAAACTCGGTTTGAGATGCCCAGCCTAAAGGCCATTGTCAGTGGGATGTCCTATTGTTCAGTCTTATGGCCATAAATATTTTGCCCGTGAACAAAACATGAACATTGTATTTCACAGTTGGGTCTTTAGTATTTTCTCCTCTTTAGTTATGAATTCATCATGGTAACACTCTTTGTATCTTTGTATTCCAGCTTTGTGAGTTAGTCCTAATGGGAGGGTTTTTTTTTTTTTCCTTGCTTTAAGTACATGTGGTTTGGGGAAGCTGTATGAGCTACTAGACTTGTTCAGTAAAAGGGTTATACCCTACACTGATCAGACTGAAATATTGCCTTACCTGCAAACTCTTAAGCTCCTTAGTAATATTCTAGGAAGGTTGTATAAGAGAAGGCTTTGTGTTGATTCCCTTTCATTCTCCTGAATAAAGCAGGGCAAAAGTTGCCCAGGTTTTGAGTACCTAATTTTGTGGAAAAATAGGACTTCATCRACTCAGTTGAGAACATACCTGAATCTTTTTGTCACTCTATCTGTGGTTAAGATGTTTTATTCCTATTTCAGAAGCAAGCCTGGGCAAAACATCAGCTGGTCCAGAATCCTGGATTAAGCTACCGAGGAAACGGGACTGTGAAGTAGCATTACCAGGATAGGGGCACGTGTTCCCTTTGGCCAGTTCTGCAGTGGAGTGTCGTCTTCATCGGGGATGAATCAAACAGTTGGTAGTGGGATTACCTCGAAACTATGCAGTTCTCTCTGCCAAACCCTGTTTGTTAGAAGCCAAGATTATAATAAAGTGATAGTTGCGATGTGTTATTAAATTAAAAATGGAATGATAGGCTATTATTTGAGCAATCTTCCTTCCTAATCTAACTGAAATTTGGTTGGCTAGACATGGTACTCACTTCCCACGGAATAGTTCATTTATTTATTATGTTTATTTTGGTATGTTTATGTAGCCAGGTTACTGACTATTTGAACCTACCTGTTTGTGATAGGACACTATATAAATCTAATAGAAGAGTTTGTCTGATAACAAGCTTCTTTCCTGATTATGTAGAAAAAAATAGTAGTCTATGGCAAAAAAATACATTGGAGGCTTGGCCAAACTATATACTTCAAGAGGAATTGTGCTAAATGCTAGTGAAGGTATTTTGTGTAACTAGGACTTCAGGAAATAAATCGCTGAGTTGAATCCAATGACATCAAATATTGATTTAGTGTTGTATGTTTTTTTAACCTAACGACTTTGGTGATGTGATGATTCCCTGTCCTCTCCTCTTTTTGTCCACACCTCCTTGCCAATAGCTGAGCCCTAGCACTAAAGGCATGAAGTGGTCTCAGCTAAGGTAATTTGTACAAGTAAGCAGGGATTTAAATTTTACTCTTGTAAGTCTAGTTGAATGTGAAATCTTGGTATTAGAGCACAGTGATATCATAGATATTTAGATGACATTTTGAGTGCTGTTATGCTGTAGGCTTCGAGCAAGTCATTGGAAAAAGTGATTACTGCGAAGGTGTGGTGGCAGAGAGAGCGATAAAAAAGCCTGAATGTTCCTCTCTGCTATGCTCATCTGAGGGCTTCATTCCAAAATGCTGACTTTACACCCTGTTGGTTTAGTCAGGCTTAACCTTTCTCATATGAAGCAAACTTTAAAGAAGGTGAGGTCTACAGGTCAATATAGGTGGAGAGCTCGCCTAATTGGTACCCTGCTTAGTCATCATCACCTTTATGACCTTTTACAAGGGCTTAAAATTGATTATGSGTTACCTGAAAACACAAAGACGCACAGCTGATCACTGCTGTGTTTTAAGAGAGGCTAGTGATGACTGAGTATGTTCGAGCTTTGGAAGCAAATTACTGAGGCCTGGTATTATCACCTCTATTTCAAGACTTTGTTTCAAAATGTGGTTTAGCTGCTGTTACTAAATATATGCATCAGGGCTGTTTTGAAACATAAGAACAGTCCAACCTACAGGTGTTAAGATCAACCCAAGGTAAAATTAAGTTGTGCATAAAGGCTGTTTGGGTTGAAGTCACGGATATGGACTTGTTTTGTTTTTGCAAGTAACGTGCAAAGGCAGTGTACAGGCAATCAGAAGAGTTGCATGTTGAATATATGTTAAAAGCAGCAGGAAATTGCTACAGTGGTTCTAGTTTTTTTCCACATGCTATGGACACAACCTATATTTAATTATTTAAATTACATGCCACGATTCATGTCTGTGRAAATGTCTCTTTAATTTTTAATAAAAATTTGCTTTTTTTTCTCCTCATAATACTGATATGAGAGAAGTCCAGTATAGGTAAGCAGCCTTTAGAATGTATTTATTAGTGGTATATTTTTTCTGAATAATAGGTGAGCATTTAAAACATCTCTCCTAAACTTTAGGAAGATAAATGAAAAAAAAGGAGTAGTAAAAAATAAAAATGTACTTTTTTTTCAGAGTCTCTCCCAAAATTTGTAGGCTAGGCACCACTGCATTATCACAGACACTGCTGGTTTGCAGCAAGGGCTGGGTAAACAGTTCCTGGACTATGTCCTGAGAGCCAACAAATATGGGCAATTTCATGTCGAGATTGGGGGTGTTGGGTTCTGAAATCCAATTGCTTATTGAGATGTGTGCTAACAGCTTCACTTCTTTCAGCTGAATGAAGCTCAGGTTTTACTATTCTTCTGATGAGAACTGGTAAAATATCAATGGGAGGGGTGTTTTCTGTAAGAATGGTGTAAATTAGTATCTTGTGTGTTGTTACTGTGTTTGAAGTTTTTTTCTTTTTTTTTTTTAACTTCTGCTATACAAGTTCCTTTGTTTTCTTATTAAATAACACAAGTTCTTGCCTCTGTTCTTGCCTCTTGCTTGTGCAAACTTTATCACTTTAGCTTGCTGACCGAGGYGACTGAAAGAGTCCGTATAATCTTAGTTATGTTATATATATATGACCCTATTGCTTTATAGTTACCGTGAGACTCACTAAAATACTGTTTTCAGATTAAGACTTCTTTATGTGCATGGGTATGTGTTACTGGCTGTAAAATTGGCCTTTGAAGCTTTCTTTCCCACTTTGTTCAGAGCATGATTTTAGCATTGCTTTTACTGTGATACATCAGTAATATTTCTGATGAAGTTGAAATTGATCCCTTTGAATTTTGTAAGAGCATATATTTATAAGAGCATTATATTTAATTTGAACAAAGACTGACATACAAACATACAACCAACAACATGCATACAACCCCCAAACCTATTTTTTTAAAGAACCAATATATCTTAAACTTCATTTATGCAAATAATATACTAAAATAGAACTCTTGAGACAAGAGGTTAGAAAGTGCCCTGTTTTTTAATCTCTTAGTAGCCAGTTTTAACATATGTTTCAAACTATAGAAGACCTAACTATAAAATAAAGAGCTTCTATTAATTTTTATTTTCCTTCTGGATTCTGAATGAYACTTTTTTAGGAGTCTAGATCAAGCAGATTTTATGTATGTAAGAAAGAAAATTCTGACAATAGCAGTGCATCACTGAAAACAGAAAATTACTCACCAACCACATTAATTTTTTTTCCTGATGTCAGTGAAGGACCTGGTCTCTGATTCATTGTTTATTGCACTGCTTTCCTGCTGGTATGATGGAGACTTAGGGAGAGACTTTAGTACAGATCTTGTCACTTTGAGTTTTAAAAGAACTGAAAATATTCTAATCTTAAGTTTACAGTAGGGTTTAGCATTTGATTTGGACTGAAGCAAGTTTAGATGGTTAGAAGGCATGAGCTTCACAACTTAGATGTTGATTATGGAAATGCTAGGCCTCATTGATCCTGCAAAATTGCCACTCCAAAGTGGTGACAAGTTCTTTGAAATCATCTATTAGAATAAAGCTCCTTGACTCRGAGTGTAGCTTGAATCAGATTTGCAATTGGAACCTTTGAGTTTGTAGTTAGAGACTAAATTCTTTTTTTCTCTGATAGTAAGACCAAATTGTTGAATAACAGACTAAGCTTAGATCTTTTCTAAAGCTGCATCTTAAGTGGTTCCTAATACTGTCCAATAAACTAAATGAAAGCTGAATGAAATTAAAAAGCAGTAATATAAAAACTGAGTGTATGCTTCTTAGCCTTTATCTTCCTCCTTTTCTGATTTTCTTTGATTATTCTAATTACATTTCTTTTATCTTTTATCTTTTGTCTTTGAGTGGTGTTTTTCCCTTGGCATCGGCTCTATGTCTTGGCTCGGCTCCTGCTATATGGACATTAAAAAGGTCTGTTGAAGCTGCTTGGACTTCACGTGGGCGAAAGTGTGCTGCACGGATCCAATTATAGAATCAGGATTATGCTGCATAGCTGTGCTGTGGGTCTGATATGTAAACATTGTCCCGAGATCACAGATCACAAGGCCGTTTCATTCCGGAGCACTAATTGTGTGAGGTGAACTCCAGCCGCGCATTTTCCCAGTTCAACAGCGGAGGAGCTGTCCCATTTAACTTGGAAGTCRTGTCTGCCATCCGCTTTGTCCTCGGTTGCACTCAACGTAAAGGCCTCTTATGTAAGAAAGACAAAGCTACAAAGAATGAACATGTGGCTCAAGCACTTTGGTATGCATATTTATATTTCATAAGTGCACTGCACTGCAGCATGCTGATGTTACAGCTCTTAAACGGTCATTAAATATAATGTGTACATTGTACCAAGATATTAGTTTATTTAAGGTAATTAGGAATAGTTATTTTATACCAACTTCCTTATTATCTGTGATTCATGGTGAGACACTGTTTCAATAGTCTTATTTCTAAGGGAACTGTAAAATTCATGCTTGTGTTAGAGACTTCTTCAGATAAAATCATAATATTGTTGTTTTACAGATACATGAAGAGATCTTACATGTCTATAGCTATTGAGCATATGCCACAGTGCCATCTGTAACTTGATGTACAATATAGCGCCTCATTATATTTGAATGAATACATTGTTATAATACTAATATCCATTTGAAATGTAAAGTGGTATAAAGAAGATCTAAGCACTGGTTCTAGGTATTTTCTTTTGARTCAGTGCTTTGTGAAATAAATATTTAGGAAAGAAATACCCAGAAATACATGGCTCAGCACTTGAAGTTGAGCCTAAGTCAACCATCAAAGCAGGATTCTGACGTGTGTGAAGGCAACTCCCTGTGAGAAACTGGCAGTGCAATGTGCACGATGGTCAGTAGTCATTCCCGGCTCTACTAGCAGCGTGCTGCGCTGCGGGTTTCTTAACCCATTGGATTTCCTTATATTTACTGAGTAAGACTTACAGCTAACAAAACTTAGATTTAAACCTTGGTGTTGTATATTACACTTTAAAAAGCTGGGCAGTGCTAGAGGAAGAAGAGGGCATGGTTAAGCAAATGCACAGAAGAGAGCAGTAAAAATTTGTCAAGAGCCGGGAGAAAGTGAGAGGGTGATGTTAGAGCATAAGAGACATTAGGACTTGCGTGAATGACCTGTCATTATGTAGGAGCACAAAAATATAAYAATATTATACAAGAAACAGCAAGAGGTGGCTAATTATGCTGAAGAGCGACAGAAGAAAGGAGGTTCTCATGCAAGTGTTATGCCTGAGAGAGAAGTGCAGCCAATGTAAGTCAGACTCACTCTGCTCGAGAGGCAGAGTCAAGGTGAGAAAGGGCTGGGAAGGCCAGGGTTGGTGAGGCAGATGAGTAATGCCTCAAAAGCTTGAAGGAAGGAGAGATGGACAGAAGGAAGCACCAGAGAACAGAGCAGATCTATATCAAGGAGGATAAGGACTCTTGGGTAACCGGGTGTATTTTGTGATCCACTTCCCTTCCAAGTTTGGAATTTTATTTTTTTTTAAAAAGGAAAAGATATGAATATATGTGTAAAAAAGAAATCAAAACCCTTGCGCCTGTACTAAAATGCATTACGGAATACAATGCTTTTAGAAATGTTTGTGTTTCCTAATTTTCTTTCTTGTTTTCTCTTCTTTTCCTATCTGCTCCTTTTTGCAATGATCAGGTGATCCTGGCAGTAAGTAAATTACATAGGGGATAATCTTTTCTAATATAAGAACATGCTAATATAATCTCTGTTAATGGCTGTACTGTGCAGATACTTCTTTAGCGTTTAGCATAATTGATTTTACACCAATAGTCAACAATGGCACACAAAGTGTCAATTAATTTATGCTTTTAATGTTTTGTTTGCATTTTATTGATATTTATTCATTTTAGCTTTGCTGCTGCTATCTTCACTGCCCATTCTCAAGAGCTCTTCTGAATAGCGTGAACTGCCAATATTCATCTTTATGGTATGTATCACACATGCATGTTTGAACTCTTTCTGTTAAAAATGCAAAGCTTGAAAAATAAGTACAAGTTTTTCTCTCACACAGGTTCTCTCACACAGTCTTCAAACATGTGCAGCCACCCTTGCAATATGATCTTATGTCTCAATTACTCTGATGCAGAAACTCATACAGAGCTTTACGGAGTGTCATCCAAGACAGACATGTCATTCCTCTGCTGATAAGTACAGATCTTTTACAGTGAGTGTGGTCAGCATTAAAGGGTGTCCATCTTTAAGAACATGTGGCTCTATTGGATGGTGTAAACATGTTGGTGATCTTTGGWGGGAAAGCTGGAGGTTGAATCCTAGATGGAAATAGGAATAAGCATTCATATGATTTTCTTTCTTTGATGGCTCTTTTTTTTTTGAGAGTAAATTGCTAAATAAACTTACTCTTCTTGAGTCTTCCCTGGTAAAATTTTAGTCAGGGTTATTTTTGTTTGTGTGTACACAGAGAGTTTAAGTAGGAGTTAATTTTGCATTGGTCCCTAATGATATGTATTCATTACAGTAGCTGTATTRCACAGCATCGCTCCTGACTCATATTTTAACTCTCCCACTGTGAACTGTAAAGATGTTGGTCATACTTCTGGGAAGGTATTTTGTTGTGATTTTCCAGTACCCTTAACTTGATGATCATGCTGTACGTGGCTATATAACACCTTGTTTAGTGCTGACTGAAATGTTTATGTGACAGTATTGTGCCAGTGCACACCTTTAGTATTGGTTACATGTGATTTTTAAGGGAATAAAGTCTTCCAAGTACARTGGATGCAACTGGAAATGCTGTTAGCATGTAAATTCTAAGTATAATTTATTTTTCGCTTCACCTAAAAATACTCACTATTTGGTCACACCCTTCCCCTCCTCACCTCCTGCTATAAAATAGTTGCATTTTTGTCAAGAGTGAAGCATACTTGCAGCAAACCCAGAGAATTAGGCACATTGTGGTTTTTTAGTTTCTGCTTTTTTTTTCTTTTTATGCTATGCAAATTGTTTCTGCCTCTGTTTTAGAAAAAAAAAAACTCAGTAAATTGAAAGCGAGTATCTTATAAAAGTTCAAGATCAAGTTTTAGATTCTCACATATATCTTCTAAAATATACCRTGTTACATGGCTATAGATGAGGGAACCTAGAATAATGGAAGTCTAAAAATACATGTAAAATATTCTCTGTAATTAAAAAGGAAATTCCCATATGGATAGACTGTTCTAGAACTTGTCACTTTAGGGCTTCTTATAACCTCCTTTGAAGAATTTTTTCACAAGTGCTTGTGGAAACCACAGAACAGAAGAATCACTGGCTTATCTGATGTCTTTATTTCTATGGCTTTAATGGTAATCCTGCTTAGAAGTAAGCTGCAAAATGAATTTAGCAGATCAGATAGACTTGCATTTATTGTGATACTGATTTTACTTATAGAAATTTTTCAAATGGCAACTCATACGAGATTGTCCCATGTAAAAAAAAAAAAAATAAGGATTAAAAGTAATGGAAGTACTGTCTATCATTTAATACAATTCTGTATGTCTCTGTAATGTGAAACTTCTCCAAATCCATTTTCACAGAACTGGAGAATGATTCTGTGATTTTCTTAGGCTGGAACCTGTTTTTGGAAAGTGCTTCGGCTCATGTGCTGGAGGACAAGACTCAGCATGTGCTAGAGTTCTCCATTGTCTTTGACAGTCATGATTTCTAGCACATTTATATTTCCTTTTTAAGTATCCGCTCCTCATAAGGCCAGCAAGGATGTCCTATTGCTAGGGAAAAACAAAAGAACAAGAAGAAAGAAAGAAAAACAAATCCCAGAAAGCAATAAATAAAATTGATATATTTTTTTAACTCTTTTTACTCTTGTAGTAACTTGMATAGCATTCAGAGTTCCAGAAAAAAAGGCATATTATTTGCAGCTTTTTGCTGCTCTATGCTGTTTCTCTCCTTCAATTTTTTTTCTTCAACCATATTCTTTCATAAAGTCAGCTGAATACTAACAGAACATAACTCTAAAGACAGTCACCTTAATTCCCCCCAGCAGCTTCCGTTGGGTTATTATAAACTGATGCAGAGAGACTGCTTGACAGCCATGGTAACTGTACCCAGGACATTTGTTATCCTAGAACATTGTGCTTATAAAATAGCTACTAAACATAACACAAATGCAGAACCTAGATGGTCTTCAAAAGGTTTCTGAAGGAAAGATGGAACAGGAGGAGAGCTTTCCTTAGCTTTGGGTTATAATCTCGTAGCTCCTGAGACAGTTGTGATGATGCACTGCTAGTCAGCCATACCCATACACAAAGATATGTCTTTTGATAGGTTTTTGTGGTAGTGATATGGTCATCTCCTTTGCAAAAGGCACTTGATTCATGCCTGGGATGCATGTRTTATTTCCCCCACTTTCTCCCGGAAAGACACTGAGGCAGAAGCAGTGCTGTGGCTGAACTTTCCCTTCCTGGTGGAGGGCAAAGGCAGTAAAGTGCGGACCGAGAAATGCAATTTAGGAGCCTGATTCTCATTGAAATAGATAGGAATTAGGTGCCTAAGGGAGACTGCYGATGTGAGTCTCACTTCTGGCTGAGCTACATGCCAATGTCATTGAGAAGAACCACAGATGAGACGGGATCAACCAACATGTTTTGGTTCCACTTCTGTTCTTGTGTCAGTGCTACACACTGTTGGAACAAGGCTGCTCAGACCTCAGACCATCATCTAGTCTAATAATAATTATTAATAATCCCATAGAGCTTCCCATTGACAGTAGCTCACAGCAAAGACTCATTAATTTCTGTATATGGACTTTCCTTATTTTGATTTCTGTATCAGCCACAGCTGTTTCAGTGTTATGTAGGTTTGCTCACTTGAGTTAAAAGGATAGTTCTTTCTGCAACCAATAGCACATTTTATGTTTATATTTAAGAAAGGCGTGATTCCACAATTCAGAGAGCACTATGTTGCTTGTTTTACTCTCTTTTCTTGTRCAATGCTCTTTTAAATCGAAATGTTCCCCTTCTCTGAAAATGAAGCTTGTAATCTGCCTTTCTCTGTTAGCATTTGTGGATACTCACGAGATGGCTGGATTTTATGCTGTTGTCCTAGTTGTCCTTAACCAACAATAGCAAATGTACATGGCCACTTTTATCCACTGCCTTCATTTATTTATTCTTGTAAATTAGATTCTTGTAAATTAGTTTGCAAGTATATTTATACTGATTTTTAAAGTTTTCTGTTTTCTCTTAGACTCCAGTGAAACAGGAGCATACTATGCATCTGTCTTTCTCAGTGATAATGTGAATTAAGAATATTTACATCTTTAATTCTTATTTTGAGATAGTCAGCTGATCACTGAATTGCTTTCAAATCCCCAGTGAAAAGTGTTTTATTATTGCCTCACAGAAAATGATTTGCTGGCAAGCAATAGAAAAAAAAAACGCACTCCTACGGAACAGGTGAATGACAGTACATTTCCATTTCAACTGCTGTTTTATGTGCCATGGTTATARCATGATTTATACTCACATTTATTCTAAATCATGCTGCTGTGTAGCTATTTTCTCTCTCAAAAAAGTCTCTGTTCTCTGGACAGAAAAATCATTTACATCTGTGCAAATTAGTTGACATAGCTTTTGGGCTACCACTTAAAAAAAAAAAGAAAAAAAAAAGCTATGCTAGTCAGAAGCTTCTTGTGAACAAAAAATGAAGTGTATTGTAAAAAAATCAATTCCACCCATACCGTTACTAGTACCTATTAAGCTACTCTTCTTTAATAAGTTGAGAGCTAATACAGGAAGTTATGGCTTAGAATTGTTTGTTTTAGGACATACTTAATTTATCTCCTATTYGAACCTGAGAGATCTTCAATAAAAATGCTGTCAGGGCAGCTGAAGTATAAGCAGCAATAGAAAGGGTAGATTATCCTCCCAGTGCTTTCCAATGCCCATTTTCTATCCTCTTCTAGTCCGTCATAAATGTACAGAAGGAGTAAATGACATCTTGATTAACTGCTGGCAGGGATAAGAAATGCACTGTATATACTATACCCTTTGAATGGATCATCTTGCATGGTAAATTAAAACTTGTGCTATTTGGAGTTGTATGACATGGTTGCTTGCAGAAGTGGATGGATGGACTTGACTGCAGGGATCGCCTGCAGCCCTGTACTTCTCTGTAGAACAYGACCCCCAGTTGTGCTGGTTCAGGTTCACGTGTATGAGCTCAGCAGATCTGCACTGAGGTATAGCAAAGAAAGAGGGGAAAGAGAAAAGAAAAAGGTTGGCTTCTGTAGTTGTAAAATTCTGCAGAGAATATTTGGGAAAACCTGCCAAAACTTTTTTTTTTGTATTTGATTTTATTGATCAGTGAGTGTTTGGCAGTGAAGGGAAGAAGCTATAGGATTTTCTGCAGGTGATTCATTGGGAATTCTTTTTTATATGGAGTGCAGTTTTAAAAGGAGGGTCTGTTATAAACAGTAAGCAAAAAGTGAACCAAAGAGGGTGAAGCTAAGTGTATTCCTTTTCATGTTGCAGCTGGTGTGAAAAACAGTGCCAGGACAAAATTTACAGTAGCTGAATATTCTAGTAGTTTCTTTATATCAGGAAAGAAAGGGGGAATTGCAGTATCTTCAGAATTGCAATATCTTCGGAGTTATAGTCTGTCTTGAAAAATTTCTTGCAAAAGAAAGATCTGCAGTTCTGCAGGTAGAAGTTTTAGGACAAGCTCCCAGCCTTTGCCTTCTATTCCGAGATGGAATTTGAGGACAGTTTGCTTATTAGCAGGAGAAGAGAAAAAAAATAGCCTTTAAAGTGACCCAAACTTTATTTAAAACAAATCTGAATTACAACAGATGTGAATGTATGAGGGATGGTGTAGAAACAACAACCCTTCTAACAGTGCCCTTCTGCATGAGATTTGTGCACAGGTGATAAAAGAGCTGCTCTACTCTTTGGTCTTCTATCCTCATCTGTCTTGATTATTACTTAGAAAAGCATCAGAGATGAAATTGAGTATGAAAATCCCAGAAATTCTAAAGCATTTTAAAATACTTTCATACCGTTACTACCATCAGATTTCTCTTTGATGCTTGGATCATGAAAGTGTATTTTTGAAAACAATTTCTGAATGGTTTGTAGTGTCTATAACATGCTGTAATTCACCTTAAATATATACCTAAACTGCAGAATAAAATTGTGCCGTGCTATGATGCAAAATGATGCTTTTAGCAAAAGGTAATGATTGTGTGTGAAAAGAGAAAGTTATCTTGGTGGTCTAGTGGCTTCTCATGAATTAACTACTTCACCTCAGATTTAAGCATCATTTTAGTTCATGTGAGCA